TCTCTATATCCTTACCTTCGCTCAACACTATTTTGTCTTTCATAAACTCAACTCTACTTTTCAGGCAAATTTTGACTCTTCAAGAACAGCCTTTACGATTCAAAACAACCAAATTACTAACCATAACTAAACAAATCAAGAACAACTATTCGCTAATTTGCTAAATAACCAATTAAATAATTAACCAAAGAAACAAGTTAAACCCCTCAATACCATAAACTCAAACTTATTTAGGTTTCACATTCGGGTTTGATTGTTAAAGTGATTAATAATTATAAAATGAGATGTATTGATGGACGAAGCTCCAATTTTCATCGGCGCTATCAAAGATTTGATGAGCGATACCTTCAAATAGCAGGAAAATTCACATATTTGATGTTGAAATGTGCGAAGTTGAAGTTCGTTTTTGTAATCTTTCAACGTTAGAGTAAAACTAAGAATCTCCAGATGGATTTCGCGAATGAAGATACAGCTTGAATGAGTTTGATACTGAAATTGTTGTCTCAAACACTTTTACAGTTCAGTTTTGAATGATTTAGATTATGAAATTAGGTTTATGTTAAGAATCGCTGCCTAAGACCTGAACATTTAAGCTAAGAGCTGAAACTTTGTGGGTTTGTAGGGATATAAAAACTGAGTCCATAGACACTGTTGAAAAATTTCTCAGATCAATAGTTTTCGAGAAAATCGAGATTAATCGATTTGTACCAAAACTGGCCGTTTTCGGCAACCATATGAGTTAGAGATCAGAAACTTATTATTTAGGGATAAGAAATCGTTTGCACACCTAATGAATTGAATAATTTTTTCAATGCATAGTTAGTTCTCTTGATATTGGCCATTGGCCTCAAAACTTTGAACCCCAATATTTCGAGAATGGTACCATTTACCATCATTATTCTTTCACCAATTAATTTCTGTACTAATTAATAATTCAATTCATAATAATAATAATAATAATAATAAATCGAGGTTAAAGTTGAAACTTCGATCGCGTTTTGTGCAATTATGGAATCAGATTATTTCATCAAACTCATTTTTCTTGATCAAACTTTTAGTTGTCAACTTAAAAATGCACTTATTTTGAGCCATAAAACTTTTCAGTTTCGACAAAACAGATTAGTTCGATTTTCATTAAAACTGGCCGTATTCCGTAACCATTTAAGTTAGAGATCTTCAACTTATTATTTGTCGATAGAAATTGCTTGCCCACATCAAGGATTGAATAATTTTTCAAATTTATTTTTAGTTCTCTAGATATTGATCACTGGTCTTAGAACTTTAAACCTCGATATTTCGAAAATGGCAAAATCTACAGTCATCATTTTCTCACCAATCATTAGATTCTGTTATGAATAAATGCTAATATTATGCTGAAATAGATTGGAATGTTAGTTGATTCAAGCTCGTGGTAAAAAGGTTACTGCATTATGTTGTTAGATTTTATAATTGATTTTTAAAACGTCGTTTTTTTTAAATGTCTAACAAAACATAAATCTTAGGATTTTCAAGAAAGATATTCGTTCTTAAATGAAGTAGCTCAGATTTTTTCTGATATTAAGACATATCATGTTAAAGCTCATAATAAAATCTGATGATTGGTGAAAAAACCATTGCTTTAGATGCTACCATGCTCGAAATATCGAGGCTGAAATTCTTGAGGCCAATGGCCAATATCAAGAGAACCAAAGCTAAATTGAAAAAATTATTGATTCCATGATTTGTGCTAACAACTTCTATCCCCAAATAATAAGTTTCTGATCTCTAACTCATGTGGTCACAGAAATCGATCGAGTTAACTGAAAATATCATTTGATCTATTTCAAGATACACAAAATGTTATTTCTCAAAAGAAGACCATTTTTTCGGTTGAGCATCAAAATTTACACATGTGAAATGAGTTAAATGGAAAAATTTGCTTCCAGAGCTGCACAAAAGGCGATCGAAGTTTCAACTTTGACTTCGATTTTCTCGATAACTATCAATCATGTGAATTGTTTAACAGTATCAAAGTACTCAGTTTTTATTGCCCTAGAAAGTCCCGCTTAGATAAAACTTGTAAGTGAAATGATCGACCCTTTGGCTGTACTTCTTGCATTTCATGTGCAACTTTTACCAGAAAATTAGTTTATTTACCAAGATATTGGTTTAGATGAGTTTATTTTGTTGAATATGATGTTTCTCGTATATTTACAACCCGTAAAATACAGCCCAAACGTACATGTTGAAATTTATTAAAGCGAATTGAATTATTAATCATTAAAGAGATAAATTAGAGCAATAATAAAAACTGTAGATTTTACCATTTTCGAAATATCGAGGTTTAAAGTTCTAAGACCAGTGATCAATATCTAGAGAACTAAAAATAAATTTGAAAAATTATTCAATCCTTGATGTGGGCAAGCAATTTCTATCGACAAATAATAAGTTGAAGATCTCTAACTAAAATGGTTACGGAATACGGCCAGTTTTAATGAAAATCGAACTAATCTGTTTTGTCGAAACTGAAAAGTTTTATGGCTCAAAATAAGTGCATTTTTAAGTTGACAACTAAAAGTTTGATCAAGAAAAATGAGTTTGATGAAAAAATCTGATTCCATAATTGCACAAAACGCGATCGAAGTTTCAACTTTGACCTCGATTTAAGCGAAAACTATTGATCTGAGAAATCTTTTAATAGTACCAATGGACTCAATTTTTATTGCCCTACAAACCGCAGCAAGTTTCATCTCTTTACTCGAATGTTCGAGCCTTTGGCAGTACTTCTTGCATTTCATTTGCAACTTTAACCAGAAAAATGGTTTATTTAGCAAGATATGTGTTTAAATGAGTTTATTTTGTTGAATAAGATGTCTCGCGTTCATTTACAGCCTCAAAATCATAGCCCAAACGCACTAATTGAAATTTATTGAAGTAAATTGAATTATTAATTAGTAGAACAATGAATCGGTGTAAGAATAATGATTGTAAATGGTACCATTCTCGATATATTGAGGTTCAAAGTTTTGAGGCCAATGGCCAATATCAAGAGAACTAACTATGCATTGAAAAAATTATTCAATCCATTAGGTGTGCAAACGATTTCTTATCCCTAAATAATAAGTTTCTGATCTCTAACTCATATGGTTGCCGGAAACGGCCAGTTTTGGTACAAATGGATTAATCTCGATTTTCTCGAAAACTATTGATCTGAGAAATTTTTCAACAGTTTCTATGGACTCAGTTTTTATATTTCTACAAACCCACAAAGTTTCAGCTCTTAGCTTAAATGTTCAGGTCTTAGGCAGCAATCCTTGACAAGAATCTATTTTTCTATTATAACTTAAGTCATTGAAAACTTGGCTGTAAAAGTGTTCTGTACCTTAATTTCACTATCGATCTCATTTAGGTTTCAAACTTTCTTCGAGAAATGCATCTGAAGATTCTTAATTTTACTTCCACGTTGAATAGGTCATACATAAGTCTAAGAAGTGTCAATTTTTAACTCAAATGGTCGAGTTCTCAGCCATACTCCTTCCAATTCAAGAAACCATTTATTCATAAGATTAAAATTGTTCACATAATTCTAACAACAATTAACTATTATTTCGAACACAAAATCTGATTAAATGTCTTCTCTTCTGACAATTAGCAGCGTGAGTCGTTAAATTCCATCCATTTACAGCCAATTTAATGTAAACAACGAGCTTATTGAGTTGAAAAATTGTTTGGCAATGTTTAGTTAGACTGAACAGAATCGTTCTGGTTGACGTGTTTCTCACTTTGTTACAACATGCAAATGATTAGACCATAGCTACAACGAAAGGTCAACCTTGATTAACAATCAAAACTCGATTTAAACATGCAAACTCATCAAACTTGTTCCATTATTCTTGATCAAAATAGCGAATTGAAAAAAGTCAACCTTTTGTTTACTTTTTGAAAATTGGATGAAATGCAGCTTGCAATTAATTAACTTTTCATCACAATCATTGCAATCGCTACAGTAGATTCAATTTATAAATTGACTGCTAACAGGATTGATATTATATGATATATATTTGAAGCATATCACAATTCAAAATTATGACAAGAATGAATTATTTTCAGACAAAACATTGAAAATTCAGGATATTGGTTTGACATTTAATTACACAACCAGGTGGGATTTAAAGTTAATGGATAAGATCAATGGTTTGCTATGGCGTTGAACTTTCTGAATGTTTCTGTTCAAAACTCATTTGGTGATTCCAATTTTACTTATTTTTGTGCTTTTTATTCTTGATTTTTTCAGAGACATTGGATGGACCTTACCAAAGAGGTCGAAGGTATCGAGATCATGATAAAAGCTTCATACGATTTGGTCGAGCAGCGGTTCAAAAAGCATTGGCTTTATGGTCAAGGGAAAGTCGTAAAAGACCTGAACAAAATAATGATACTTATTTTCTTCGATTTGGCCGATCTTCTCAATAAAATAATCTAACATGTTTATTAAATGATTATTATAATTAACTGATTATAAAGCTTACTTATTCAAAATTTAACCTTAAAAAAAGAGGAAAGCAAAAAAGGTTAGATATTCAACTGAAACTACACTCATTAAAGTTAAATTGTTTGCAATTTAATTCTATTACAAATTTCTGTAGATTTAGACTGGATTCATCTTTTACCCATTTTTAAATATAAACTTGATCGTCGTTTAACGTTGATAATCAACCATAATTGTGTACAATATTGTTAATAATGTCAGCAATCTTTGTAAAGGGCATGATTCAGGCTTGGAAGGAGAAAGCAAACCTTAAGGTCGCCATTTTCTTTACGCTTCTTCTAACTTCATCTACTTGATATTAAATATAATTGTCCTTTTTTGATGTTTCAATCAATTTACTTTATCCTCTTAAATCAATCTTTTAATTCACCAACAGATTTAACTTTTACATCATCTAATCGTCTTCGATCTTCCATATTACAGCAAGAAAACAGGGTTTTCATTTCATCTCTTCAGGGAAAGATGGAATTGGATTTAATCATGCTTTTTTCACTTTCATATAATATGTATCATTTTGATATAACTGGATATAAGTTTAAAAAGTCAAGCCTCTTTGATTCGCGATACATAATAGTTATAATTGATGATTATTAGTTTTCGATGAGTGCTTGGGTTTGAATCCTTATCAGGTTGACCTTCGTTTCAATGTATGAAAATGTAATAAGTGTAATTTTTCAGCTCCAGTCTAGTGATGTTACATCTGATTCATTTTATCATTGATAAAATATGGAATATTTTCATCCTTGAAGCTTTTCAATAGCATATAGAATGGATAAGTTAATTATGAATGTTGAAGTGTTTCGGCTGTTTGAATAATTTTTAACATTGTTTAGCGTTAGTTGACTTCACAGCACTTTACATGAGTCAGTCTTACGGGACGCAGTGCTGGCAACTGATCGTGACCGAAAGGTTCGTCCAACTTGTCCAACATCGAAATAAACTCGGAAAGCCATGAAAAGGAAACAATTGATGGTTCCTATTCGGTTATATTGAAAGGTATTTTCAGTTTCCCCTTTGATATCTTCTTCGGAAAATTGGCGACAAAATATTTCAACTGTTTCAGCACTGAGAAGACGAGGTTTTTGACTTCCAGGATTGGCACCTTCAAATCGTATATCTAGGAATAATGGTTAGGTTAGGAGAAAAGGAAATTATTATTAAATCGATACAATTACAGTGAAACGAGAAAACAAAGAGCAACAATAATTATTTATGAGCTTTTAATGTTAGCCTTCCCTGTTTAGTGGCTCCATCTTTAGCTCTTGATTTATAATGGCGATTAAATGTAATTTATAAAAATATGCTGAACAATCAAGTGCGATATTAATAGAAAAGGCAAATTGATAGACAAGATAAGAGCAACTGTGACTTTATCTGTGTTTTTGACTTATTCTAACGAATAGTATTAAAAGGTAAGAAGATCAAGATTGTTCGGGATGGTCGTCAGTTTTTTTCTCAACATTAAATTGATTAGACTTACCTTTAATTGCTTTATCTACCCAGTCATGGAGTTTACGTTTTATTTGAGTCAAGGAGGTTTCTCTATCGGCAGGAGTAAAAATAACTGATGACAAAAAAATTGATCTCGGAGAAAAGGTATTTGAATCATCGGGTCTAAGACTATCTGGGGTATCTTGAACTGAGTCAGTTGGTCGTTTGGTATAAGCGACTCGAAATATTCGTAGATAGTCACCACGATCTGAAGAGTGGGACATACTGTTGGTCTCAATGTGTTTATAATTTTTAACCTTTATCTCTAAACATTGAGCATTCTTAAATTCAAGGGAACCATTGTTTGCCAGCCAATCGGAAGCTCTTGACATGGTTCCAGATAAATTTTCGAATGAAGGTTTCTTGAAGAGTCCCCCGCCAGTGAGTAGTTTAGGAGTAAAATCACGAATACCAATTTGCTCCGTACAGTTATCAGCACCAGAAATATAAAAAAGACGAATAATGGAGACACATTTACCCGGAAAAACATGTAAAGTTGCCTCAGGATCAATTTCCCAATCCGAATTAGCAGGAAAGTAGAGCGTCTCAATGGTTATAGGAGTCCCTTTAACGTTACCTTCTCGGATTGATTTATTGGCACGGTCAATAACAGTTTCTAGTTTTTCAAATCGAGTTGTATCATCGTCATCATCTTTTTCAGGCTTGAAATCAGCATAACAAATAGTTTGGTGGGTTGTTTCCGACGATGAATTGGCAACATTGGCTTCATTTCCACCCAATTCATTTCCATTGGTTCCACCATTAATGACATCTATGTCTCGACGTTTTATCCAGAGTCTAATTACAAAAAAATAAGTTCAAAATTAATATCGATAAGAAAAATTTAAAAAAAATATTGTCATAAGATAAATACAAATGCAACCATTTGGCGCAATTTGATAGTTGTCTTCCCAGTCTCCATCTATCGGATTTGTAGCTTCATCATAAATACATAATGTTATGCGTTCAATAAATGCCAAATTGTCAAAAAACAACTTTGGCTTTATATTTCTGCAAATTGATTATCAAAAGAAGATTATCATTTGTCTAATTAAATATTTTGCATAAATTGCTTGATTTGTTCAAAATTAATATGTTCAGAAATAAAAATTGACTTTCAACAGCAATAAAAGTTTTTTCAAAACAATCGATCAAGCAGTTTAGTTAGATAATGCATAAAAGTTTCCGTAAAGCAATTGTTTTAATGCAAAGTGATAGCTCAAGTAAAAACTAATTTAATGGTTTATTTTTATTAAAACTGATTTACAACTTTATCATTGTAAAACTAACGGTTTCCATCAACAATAGTAACTATCTTCTGAGCAGTGAGAAGCGACCGTTACAGCAAAAGAGTTAAGCTCATTTAAATATTCGATCTATTGTAAAGATATCGATGAAATATCGAGAGAAATATCGAAAATGAATGCTCTAACGATAATATCCTTGATTTATCAGTTACCATAACTGTGTTACTATAACTCTTGTCTTGTCTCTTTTGGCAAATGTGTTTTTATTTAAACAAAGCGAATTAGTGTTCAAAACATCCATTCTTTTAATCATTATACTGTTTTATTAGCTGACTATTAGCTGATTATTGAATTCACTACAATGCAAACTAATGGTGTTAAGCCAACTCCGTTCCAATTGAATGATAATATTGGAGAGTATTATTATTTTGCATCAAAGGTATGTTTTAAATTCACTTGTTTGCTAGTTATATTGGTGTTTATAAAATTGTCTGTTTTATATTGAGTACAAATTTTATTCTACTCATTCTAATTCCACCTACAGGTTGGAAAATATTTGGGTATGTTTGGTGGATCACTATTCGAGAGATACCCTTCTTTGCGGCGTCGATTGGTTACAAACGAGGAAAGAAAGAAACTTGTCTCACTAGGTAAAGACTGTTTTCATTTCGTTGCATTTGATAAATTTATTACTAATATTATAATCTTATTTTTTAATAGGTCTGATTCCATCTAGCTTGACTAAATATATCACAGTACTCAAAGCCAGCGAAGTCAATGAGATATTTGCAGGCAGAGATAAAAAATTCAAAAGTTCGTCTGATTTACTTTTTTCTTAATTCTTAGAATCTTTCCTATTCTCATAAATTTTGATAAACTTACATTTTTCTAATAATTTCAATTTCTTTAATTATAGAAAAAGTTGACGCTCCTGAGCAAATGGATGGCGAATGTAAAGCTCTGTCTTATGGTGATTTACTTTTTATTCATTATAGTTTTTAAGATCTCTCCTATTTTCATAAATTTTCATCGACTCGAATGTTCCTAATAATTTTTATTTCTTTATTTCTATTAGACCAATTGGGTACTCCCGAGCAATTGAAGGAGGAACTTTTTCATGAACAATTAGATGCAGAGTGCAGAGGTCTGTTTGATGATTGTTTACTTCTTTAAATTCCCAATTCTTACAATCTTTCCTAAATTTTCTTGAACTTAAATATTTTAAAAATTTTAATTTCTATAATTCTAGATCAATTTGGCTTTACTGAGGAGGAACTTTGTATGGAAAGAGAATATGCAGAATGCAGAGGTCTGTCTGATGATTGTTTACTTTTTCATTCATAACTCTTACAATCTTTCACATTTTCATAAATTTTCATCAACTTATATTAATCTAATAACTTTAATCTCTTTAATTATAGATCAATTTGGCTTCACTGAGGAGGAACTTTGTATGGAAAGAGAAGAGGCAGAATACAGAGGTCTGTCTGATGATTGTTTACTTTTTTATTCATGATTGATTCTTGCAATCTTTCTTATTTTCATAAGTTTTCATCAACTTATATTAATCTAATAACTTTAATCTCTTTAATTATAGACGCCCAACTTTATGCCTTATATAATGGATATTAGCTGACTAGCTAGTCACTAATTATAATTGTCATAAGATAAATACAAATGCAACCATTTGGAGCAAATTTGATAGTTATCTTCCCAGTCTCCATCTATCGGATTTGTGGCTTCATCATAAATACACAATGTTGTGCGTTTAATAAATGCCGTTTATTGTGAAAAAACAGCTTTGATTTTATATTTCTAACAACCAATTCGACTATTGTAGATTATCATTTGTCTGATTAAATATTTTTAATAAAATACTTATTTGGTCAAAATTATTACGTTCAGAAATAAAATTTACTTTCAATAGGCATTAGAATTGTCTTAAAACAAACGATCAAGGGGTTTAGTTAGACAAAGCATAAATCATAAGTAATGAAATTGTCTTATCTGTTACACAGTGATAGTTCAAGAGAAAACTAATTTAATGATTTATTTTTATTCAGACTGATTTGCAACTTTGCTAATTGTCAAAATAACGGTTTACATCAACATAAGTAACTCTCTTCTGAGGAGTTTAAATTTTTCCGTTAATAGCAAAAGTTAAGCTCATTTAAATATTCGATCTATTGTAAGAAAGATCGATAAAATATCGAAAATGAATGCTCAAACGATAATATCCTTGATTTATCAGTTAACCATTACTGTGTTACTGTAACTCTTGTCTTGTCTCTTTTGGCAAATGTGTTTTATTAAATCAAATTGAATTAGTGTTCAACCCATCCATTCTTTTAATAATTATCAAAGAGTATAACAAGAGGTAGCATGCAATGTTAACTATCTTTTTGAGATAAGGATAGGGAAAAGGTCTCGGACGCGATGGCGCCACTAACAACCCTTTTAATTTTTCTTTAATTTTTTTCAACTTTTTCTCATCAAAAAATTTGTTTACATTTATTTTTTTGTCATTTTTTCGTCTCTTTCAACATCTCTTTCTTGCTGCTAGCTCCCTCTTTTCCGTCACCTTTTAACTTCTTATCTCTCTTATCTATAGCTCTCATTGACGTGCTCTCTCTTGCTATTACTCTTTGATAATTATACTGTTTTATTAGCTGATTATTGAATTCATTACAATGCAAACTAATGGTGATAAGCCAACTCCGTTCCAATTGAATGATAATATTGGAGAGTATTATTATTTTGCATCAAAGGTATGTTTTAAATTTATTTGTTTGCTATTTATATTGGTGTTTATCAAATTGTCTGTCTTATATTGAGTTCAAATTTTATTTTACTCATTCTAATTCCACCTACAGGTTGGAAAATATTTGCGTATGTTTGACGGAGCCCTATTCAAGAGCTATCCTTCTTTGCGGCGTCGATTGGTTACAAACGAGGAAAGAAAGAAACTTGTTTCACTAGGTAAAGACTGTTTTCCCTTCGTTGAATTTGATAAATTTATTACTAATATTATAATCTTATTTTTTAATAGGTCTGATTCCATCTAGCTTGACTAAATATATCACAGTACTCAAAGCCAGCGAAGTCAATGAGATATTTGCAGGCAGAGATGAAAAATACAAAAGTTCGTCTGATTTACTTTTTTATTAATTCTTACAATAGTTAGAATCTTTCCTATTCTCATAAATCTTCATAAACTTACATTTTTCTAACTATTTTAATTTCTCCGATTCTAGAAAAAGTTGTTGCTCCTGGGCTAACGCGTCGTGAACTTTATCTCGAACATTTAGCTGCACAAGCGGCAGGTCAGTTCAATGATTATTTATTTTTTATCATTATTAATTATCAGAATCTTTCTCACTTTCATAAATTTTCATCAACTAATATCTTCTAATAATTTTTATCTCTAATTCTAGGACCCGCATTCGATCCTGACTGGTTTGATGAACAAATGTTTAATCCAGAACCGGAATCGATTATTTTTTCTGATAGTGAGTTACATTTTTATTCATTATTCTTAGAATCTTTCATATTCTCATAAATCTTCATAAACTTATATTTTTCTAATTTTAAATTCTCTAAATCTAGTTCAATCTGAAAAGTATGATGCTGAATTTTATGCCGAAAATTTAGCTGCACAAGCGGCAGGTCAGTTCAATGATTATTTATTTTTTATCATTATTAATTATCAGAATCTTTCTCACTTTCATAAATTTTCATCAACTAATATCTTCTAATAATTTTTATCTCTCTAATTCTAGGACCCGCATTCGATCCTGACTGGTTTGATGAACAAATGCTTAATCCAGAACCGGAATCGATTATTTTTTCTGATAGTGAGTTACATTTTTATTCATTATTCTTAAAATCTTTCATATTCTCATAAATCTTCATAAACTTATATTTTTCTAATTTTAAATTCTCTAAATCTAGTTCAATCTGAAAAGTATGATGAACTAGTTCTTAACCCAGCATTTGGAAATGAATACTATATCTGATGGTGATTTACTTTTTGATTCATTATTCTTATAATCTTTCCTATTTTTATAAATTTTCATCAACGTATTTTTTTCTAATAAGTTTATCTCTTTAATTTTAGAACTTTATGACCGACTATTAGATGGCGTATATAGTGAGTATTAGCTGACTTGCTATCCACTAACAAAAATTATAATTATAAAATGAATAAAAATGCTACCATTTGATAATTGTCTTCTCAGTCTTCGTCTATCGGATTTGTGACTCTAACAAAAATAAATTAAGCTATGCGTTTAATAAATGCCGTTTATCGTTATAATGTCATGTTGATAATTTATTTCATTCAAACTTGATTACAACTTTTCTTATGATCAAACTAACTGTTTCCATTCATAAACAATCATCAATATCACCAAAAAAGCAACTTGGAGTTTACTTGGATCTAAAGCGATTGTTTTACTTCAACATTAATATGCAAATGCATTGGACTTTTGGATCCATAACAATTGTTGACAAAACTGGTAATAAATTATCATTATCAAAGCTTGAAAGTGTTAACTATTTTCTGAATAGTTTTTATATCATACATATTAATAATGTAATAATTTTTCCCCTTCTGATCGAAGCTATTCCATTTTTTCAGCCTTTATATCTAGAAATACAAAAACAACATTTTGATCCAAATACATGAAATTAGAATTGAAAATTTCTCATTTAGGCCTACTATTGGCTTCTCCTTTGTCAACTTGTCTTCAACTTTTCCTCTTCTTTTCATGTCTTTCACCATGAAAGATTAAATTGAGTAACTATAAGTTTGAACATTTCCCGACTCTCTTTGTTGACACATCTTTTTATTTCTATTACAATAATGACAAGTATGGACGAGGCCTTAGCTTTTAATGACAAGATAACGATCATTTGAGTGATTATCGGAACAACAATAAACAGAAAGTCATTTGTAATCAACTCTTTTTTTCCGCTGTTTCCCATGAAAACAGAGTTTCTATATCTAAAGGTTAAAATTATACTGCAACACTAACTATAAGCTTTTTTTTCATTTTCAGCTTCACTTCAAGAAATGATAGATCAATAAAAAGGCCATAACAGAGTAAAGGAGAAAACTTGAGGACCATGAAGATGATGGTGAGTAAGGATAAAATGATTGAATAAATGACCCGAATTGACCATGATAAGTGCATTCTCTTCCCTGCCTTCCATGTACCCTTCAGTATCGTAAACATTAACATATCTAAATTTATCATCCATTGACAAAGGCATTTCTCGAGGCAAAGGACAACCAAGAAATTATTGGACCTCATATATTAACAGCAACTAATCAATCCTTTCTCATTGTCCACTCCACAAGTCTTGCTATCATTTCCGTTGCTGATCATCTTCATGCTATAAATAGTGTTTTGACCTTTCTCTATCTCACTTTCCTGGTTAGACTTGACAATCAAATTAAAAGTCAATTTTGTCCCAATTTCAGGCTTGTTTTCAAGTCATCTTTACACATAGAGTCAGCTTAATGCCTTTTTGTTCAATCCACCAACCTCATTGACCCAATCAATGGATAATTTCAAAACCAATTAGTTCCTCTTGAGATTATTAACATGCATGTGACTCGAGTCATGTTTAGGTTCAGTTTTTTTCATTAACTCGTTAGATATGAAAGTTTATTCAATTAATCTGTTAATCTAATGAAATGCTTCACTGATCATTACTTGTTAGTCAGACATCTTTGCGTCCCAGGATGAACAATAATCGTTGTGTCACTTTTCTTGATTAGTTTAACCATTAGTTAGCTTCCAATGGTTCTGGTAGCTGAATACTAATTTATTCAATGTTTCTGTCTCTTCAATGGACTGGTAAATTTGATATGTTAACCTTGTTTTTGTACTGATACTTGATACCTGCATTAATGTGTTGGTCATAATCATCCTCATTATTTCAATCAATTTTGTCCTTTCCATTTCTATAGATGACCGAAAGGCACATTGCAATCATAATGTATTATAACCCGTTCAATATTATCTTTCAATATCAGATTATTTTACACGTTTTACTATTTATTTTCAGAAGGCAAATGAAATTGATTGTAATACAACAGCAACGATAATTCAATCTTGTAAAGTGGTCGGAAAGACAAGATGGATGGACACTGGAAATGGAAGCTTCTCAATGTAAATTGAAAATGGTCAATAGTTGACATGTTTGGACTTACCTTAAAGCCATCAATGAACTATGGGCATCGCCATCAAGATGGAAGCAAGTATCTTGTGGAGCAAGTTGCCAACCATTGTCTTCAAATTTGAAAAACAGTAAAATGGTTTCGCAGTTGATTACTTCCCAATCCGTGTTTTTGGCCAACCATTCGTTGCAGGCTGCTACCAGGGCACTGTAATTGTCACAGTAAGATTCTGGTTATAAGATTTTCAAGCAAACTGGAATCTCATTAATTCAGCCTTTATTTCAAAGAAATGATTTGATTGAAAATCAATCAAAAATCGAAATAAATGCAACTAAATATGAAATAACTATTGATTAATGTAATCATTTTTGTCTAAACTTTCTCCAATAAGCTTGGAAATGTTTCACTGGGGAATATCTGACCATTTCAAGAATACACTTCTATTGATTGGAAACAAATGCAAAACTGTGTTTGGGCAAATGAAATGAAATTGTAAGTAAATTGATTTTCATAGTTTAGTTGACTCTTTTTCAACAATTTAATTGATTTGCTCTTTTTGTTTGAGCAGATTCAACCCAGATAACCAATGAATAAGCGGGAAAACTAAATCATTATTTCACCTGAAAACCAGGATAAATAATGTAAACTCTGCTATTCAATAGCATAAGTAAATACATAAAAAATATCATTTGAAGCCCAGAAAACCTTCAATTGCCAATCGATAATAGAAAATTTAATGGAAAAAAAGTAACAAATTTAATGAAGTTTTTTCAAAATGCTAATCTACTCAATAATGGTAATGATTAACCTTTTGTTTTAACCGTATATTTGATGCAACAATTTGATTATTGGCAAGAGGTAAAGGTTTGCTGAGAAAATGGTGCACGAATGCTATAATGACACTAATTAGTCAATTGCTGTTGACCTTTTAATTACCTGAAACTGTGATAGGCAATGGATTCCCTTTTAGCGGGAAAACCAGCTGGAGGTTTCTTGAGCACTCCTGGAATCACGTCGATAAAGGTGAATTTAACATCGGCTCCAAGTCCATTATCAACGACCAAAGGATCTTCTGGATGAAAGGATTGATTGCGATCACGCCACAAAATGTGACCAATGTATCCAAAGGCCATCGGCGAATTCAACTTTACTCAGAGACTGACAACCTTTGCACACAATAAAAGCGTAGTTATCGGAGCAATTATGATGAATCTCTTGAAACACAAAAACAACTTTACTCTTTAAAAGCACTCTTGACTAAAGCACTGGCTAGAGTATTTTGCAATTAATGTATTTTATCAACTGTAATAATCAAAACTTTGGATGCATTCGTTTTCACCAGAAATTAATAGTGACCAGAATGGATAGACACAAGTCACTTGTTGGTGCAACAGCGAACAGTTGATTGTTAGTCAAAAATTATATTTGGACGAGTTGAAGACTAAAGTAAATGATGGTTATCTTGTGACTGACTGTTTTAATTATGATCTGCAGATGAATTAGATTGGAGATACATTAATACAAACAAGCAGAAATTGTTTTAAAAATTATTCATTGGAAATGATGACAACGAGATGAAGTAATAACAAAAAGACTAGCAAAGAGGGTTACCAAGGAAGAGATAACTTTGAAACTAAATGAGGAAAAAACACTAGCCAAGTTTCATGCCCAGTTTAAGTTGAAAAGTGAGAAGAAGATGAAGAAGACAATCATCTTCATCATCATCAGGCAAGACATTATATTGCTTTGTAAATGTGCTAGAGATATTTGGAAGTGGATCGATAAAATTCTGAGTCGATATTACTCCAAGTATAACAGTTGAAGCTGAACATGTATTACCGTTCGTTATTGGAGTTGTAACAAATGAACAGAGTGGGTTATATTTTTCACTGGGAAACAAACAAACAAAGAGTTAAATTGAGTTACGAATGCGCGATTCAATTCACTAAACTTGATAATAATGATGATACATATAACTGTACCAATTGTAATTTCATCGATCTTCACATGGGACAGGCCTTCTTCTTTGAATTTTACTCTTGCTATCTGTTTATAATCCTTAATCATTCAATCATTCAATTATTTTCTCATCAGGCTAATAACGACTGTTTTCAAATTGGTTGAATTTGTCTTGTTATTCATAATTTATTTTAAACTACATACTTTATAAAACCTTATAAATTGATAAATTTATTCTTATTGGACTGTTGTTGAATGAACACAGGGTTTTAATTTATCTGATCGCCTGAAATCATCAATGTTTGGGTGAATCAACATTTGATTCAAAGGATAAGCATATTGAGAGCTTAATTTAAACTTGCCGCGCTTCTATTTTTGACAGTAACCATACAAACTTGTAACATATGACAGCAAATGTGTTTTGATTTAATTCATTTGAATTAGTGTTCAAACTATCCATTTATTTATTTATTATACTGTTTTATTAGCTGACAATAGAATCCTTTCATCATGCGAACTTATGGTGATAGGCCAACTCCGTTCCAATTGGATGATAAAGATGGAGAGTATTATTACATTGGTTCAGAGGTATGTTACGAATTTAGTTGTTTACTATTTATATTGGTATTAATCATATTGTCTGTTTTATATTGAGTATTAATTTTGATTTTTTCATTCTAATTCCACCTACAGGTTGGAAATTATCTGCGTATGTTTAGGGGATCCCTATACAAAAGATATCCTTCTTTGTGGCGTCGATTGGTTACAGTCGAGGAAAGAAAGAAACTTGTTTCACTAGGTAAAGGCTGTTTTCCCTTCGGTGAATTTTCTAAATTACTAATTATATCATTAATCTAATTCTGCAATAGGTCTGGGCCCACATAGCTTGGCTACAAATATCACATTACTCAAAGCAAGTGAAGTCAATGAGATATTTGCAGGTCGAGATGAAAAATACAAAGCTCTGTCTATATCTAATGAGCCATTGACACAAAAGTAAGTTTCCATTTTTTCGGAAAAAATTAGAAAGTGTATTCGAATTAATAATATGATTTTATTATTGTAGAGAAACAAAAACAAAACGAGCTAATTGGGTACATGCAACATTGCCAAACAGTAGTCACCATCTTGATGCAGTTCCATGCTCAACTCCAGTAAGTCGCAATCGGTTATCTGGAAAAAGAGTCCGCACTTTCCCTTTAGCATTTGATGATTTGGATCCGGCAATTGTTCATGAAAACGCAAATCAACCTGATTTCCTTGTACCGATCAGGCTTGATATGGAGATTGATGGACATAAACTGCGAGACACTTTTACCTGGAATAAAAATGGTGATTTGCTCTTTTATTCATTACTAATTCTTAATTCTTATTGTTAGCTCTTTTCCTATTTTCATAAAATTTCAAATATTTCGTATATTTTTCTAATAATTTTAATCTCTATAATTCTAGAACAACTAGTCACTCCTGAGCAGTTTGCTGAGGTACTTTGTGATGATTTGGATCTCCCAGCTTCAGCTTTTGTGCCAGCTATAGCTCAATCAATTCGACAACAGATTGAGTCTTTTCAAACTGATACTCTTCTCGAAGAGCAAACTGATCAACGAGTCATTCTTAAGGTTTGTTTGGCAAATTTAAATACAATCTAATAATTTCTGTCATCCGGAATTACACATAACTAAGCTAAGACCATTTTTTCTTTAGTTGAATATCCATGTTGGTAATATCTCTCTAGTTGACCAATTCGAATGGGATATGTCGGAAAAAGAAAATAGTCCCGAAGAATTTGCATTAAGACTCTGTGCAGAACTCGGTCTTGGAGGAGAGTTTGTTACAGCAATTGCTTACAGTATAAGAGGTCAATTATCTTGGCATCAAAGGACTTATGCTTTCAGGTAAAGTATCAATGCCATAAAACTATTTAGACAGTAAAATTTATTTTTACTCGCATTTTTTCCGAAGCTAACTTAACATCTTCTTTACAATTATCTTTCAGTGAATCACCATTACCCACTGTAGAGGTGCCATTTCGAAACCAAGCTGAATCTGATCAATGGTGTCCATTCCTTGAAACTCTCACTGACGCTGAAATGGAAAAGAAGATTCGAGATCAAGACAGAAACACCAGACGTATGAGAAGACTGGCTAATACCGCTCCTGCATGGTAGAACTCATATCGGCATTCAATATTTTCAATTTCTTGAAATTTTCATTTACAATTCAATTCAATCAACTCAACTGGTCAATTATGAGACAAAGTCTTCATCTGTCAAGTAATTTTTTTGAAGATATATCATTTTACAATCATTTCATGTATACATTTCACTTTCATCTTTATTTAATAAACTATTTGTGATCTTAAAGAATTAAAATTAAAAATATTTGCTAGTCATATTTGCTAATCATCTAATCTCATCTTTAATGTAAGGACAAATTGATGGTAATTTTTTGAAATTGGATAAAGATCAATCAACCAAATCGCTAGTCCTAGGTTATAGTGGCAATCAAATGGTTTCAATTAGATTAAGACAGTAAGTCTGCAAATCCTTCCTGCTCCAGTTGATGTTGCATCCACAAAACATTGTTCATTGGATCAATATACGTTTTTTACAGACTGTCATCATTTAATTAGCCTTAACCTATCATCCCAATAAATCTACTTACAGGTAAAAAATTAAATTGAATCAACAAGGTCAGTCAATTGTTTCATTAAATCAAATGAAAACAATACGAGAAACAGAAACCATCATTTAGTCCAATTTTTCTTGTTTTTTCCTCCTCATTTTGTTTTTTTATGTTTAGATTTAATACAATCCTTTAACCAACTTTAAACGATTAACAGATTGGGGCATTTTTTTACCGTCTTACACCTAATCAATGGTTCTTCAGTCAACCGGTGCGCATCTCATTTACATCCAATTCAACCCATTTCAGATGGCTCCTGAAAACAACAACTTTGCCAGTCTTTTACAGTAAACTGGTTTTTGTTACAATTTTAATCATGATCATGATCATTTGGATGATGTTCATCATTTACTAATTAACCCGTAGATCATCCTTCCCACCCACAATTCCCAACAATCAATGATAACAATTCGAGTATATAAGCTACAAATGTGATCAATGCCGAACTAAACAGCAATCGCAAGTGTTCTGAGAAGTTAATCAAAATCTGTGCGTGTTTACTTTCAATCACCACAACCAATAGTTGGTAATCTGTTGGTAAAATTTCATTCACTAATCATGTATTTATCACTAATTTCACCAATAACTTTATTGATCACTGGAATTAATTTTGTTTGTGGTGATGTTAACAATAGTTCAACAACTACACCACAACCAATCCCAATTACAACGTTAACAACACTGTCAAATGATGTTGTCGTTTCCAGTCCACTTCAAGTGTTGGCTTCACTAAATGATGAAGATTTACTTGCTGAAGCAACTCATCGTCATTATAAGGAAGAGGTATCATTCTGATTAATCTGCGTTAATTGTGATTCTCCAATTGGATTTGCACTTGATCTCAACATTCTTTCTTTCTTCTGATTTCTAGGTTCATCACCATCATCATCACCACCACCATGAACCACATCATGCTCACCATCATCATTCACATGTAAGTCATTTGATTTGAGGTTTAAAGTGAAACTTAATGTGAAGTAATGTGGACTTAAAGTGAAATCCAATTGAAAGTAAAATCGTTTGCTGGCGAATCAGAACTGAGGGAAATAATTTGTGTGAAAATTTTACCTGATTTTAGATGAAAATAGCTGTTAAAATTCATTTAAGATGCAGTTTAAAGGTTAAATCAATACAAAAATTTTGTTAGGGTAAAATGGTTAGACATTTGATCAATCCTTTTATTTAAAGTTTGCCTTTATCGTAAAAAGTAAAATTGTTTTTTTTTAATTTACTTTATGAAAATAAAAATTTGTCTGATAATTATTCAATGATCAAAAGATTCTGACATATTCGCTGTCAATTTTTCATTAAAAAGAAGTTCATTTATTTAAATGATGTTTGAATTTCTGATCAAATAGTTTCGTTATGTTTTCCCAATGATCTTGACTTGCCTCTACTAATGTTAACTTTTTATCTTGATTTTTTAGGGTCACAAACATAATCATGGCCACGGACATCAGCATGGTCACAGTCATGGCCACGGTCATGGTCATAAACATGGTCATAAGCATGATCACAAACATAAACACGACCATGGACATCAGCACGGGCATGGACATCAACATGTAAGAAAATTAAAAAGACAATCGAAGATTTCGATATTTATATTTTTCTTGGTTTGTTGTTGAAAAATAGGGTCATTCGCATAGTCACGAACACGGCCATGGACATGGACATGAGCATGGACACGAGCACGGACACGAACATGCCCACTCACATGGACATGAACACGGACATTCGCATGGACACGATCATGAGCATGGTCATAGCCATGCACAGGTAAGTTTCCAATAAAAATCTAATCTGAATACACTTGGATGGTTTGAAAGCATCAAATAATCGATCATTCTGTTAACTTTATCCTTAGACTCACGAGCACGGACACGAGCACGGACACAAGCACGCCCATGATCATGATCATGTAAGTTGATCTTTTGTGTTTAGATTCATTTATTTTGAACAAATCTGAATAATTTTTCATCTACTAATTTTGATATTTATTTAACAGGGACATGATCATAAGCATCATCATCATCATCATCACAAGGAGAAGAGCAAGAAATCTGGTTGGAGTGAAAAATCTGATGTCAAGGGATTCAAAGAAAAGTCAAAGTTGAAAAAAAATGATTGGGAAAAGTTGAAGAGTTACTTGCTTAATCAAAATGCTCAAGTGTTTGTAATTGAATGAGAATTGGCCTGAATGATTATTTATTTGGAATCAAAGCAAACTGTTGATCGGTTTGATGTTTTATTACAGTCAACTTAATGTTATATCTGTTGAAGATAGTCAAATTTACTTCAAGTCAATCTAATTTACAGAGGCCAAGTCTAATCATAATTAAACCCCAAAAATCTGTATTATTCTCAGATTGAGTTTAAAGTATTATAATTTATTAATAAACAGATATCAGATATGATTTCAAACCAACTTTGAAAGAAGAAGCGACGTTTGATTTGATTAAAATTACGTTTTATCTCAAAGGATAACCAGGAATCAACATGATTAACGGTGTACAAGATTCTTAAAAAACCATATAAACAGTCGACGAACGTCCAGACGCAAAAATAGGTATCGTGAATGAGATTTAGTTGAAAACTGACACATCTTTCAAATAAACTTCAATCCTTGCGATCGCCTTTCATTATTGTGGCAATATCAAAATATTAATAAATATTAATTTGTTATTATCAAACTCTTTTCTTACTTATTCTAACCAGGTAAATCGGTATTTATGTTTCTTTGATCTCATAATGTGTGCATTGATATTAGAGGATGCTGCACTTAAAACACCCTTTACTATTGCAACTAAAACAATTACAACATATGTACTAGTAACGGGTGTTACGCTTAATATTGATATTGATTAAGATAATAATGAAACAACAGAGACAATGAAATCAAAATCAAATCTGTTGCATTACAATCTTCATAGATATCTTCATCAATATCAAAATTGTGATAAAGGTAAGCTCAATCTTAATTTTACCTCCTACATTTGCAGGTTTATTATGTTTGCGAGATTCGCTATGAATGAGCATCGAAATACAAAGTCCGTGTATTAGTTTTACTTGCTTATCCGAGCATAGTGAGCAAAGCCTTTATTTTCACCTCACATCTCACATTCCAATCTTTCGATTTCAGTTTTCTCTGCCTTCGGTTTTTCCCCCACTAACGAGAGAATTCCAAGAATTGGTAAATCGATATCGATGGGGTTCCCTCGTAAAAATATACAAAATTATCGCGATTCAGTTAGTTTCTTCTCATTACTCCACTCTTCGCCTGAATCTCTTTGTGTTCTTCTTTTTCTTCTGTCTAACATTTTCATCATGTGCTTATCTTACTCTCTGTGTTTACTTCTCATTCTGCCAATCATATTCTGACCTTGTGATTTGTTTTCATTTTATTGTTATCGCAATCAATAAAAATCATCATTTTCAGAGTCAAGGAGAAGAGGTTTCTCTCAATTCAATTTTATCAAGCTTACAAAGTGGCTCTGGCGTGGCCGCATAATTGTAATCCGAAGGTATTTTTTATTAGATTAGATTTAAAAATACGATTAAAAATTGAAAAAAATTGAAAAGAGTGTCTGATGTGAACGCCTCTAGCTTAGGACGGCCAACCTCGCTTCCAATTGAAACTTATGGAGAGCTTCTTCTTTACTCTTTGATCATTTTACTATTTGTTATTACTTGCTATCGATATTGGGCAAACAACTTTATTCATTCACTCTCTTGACTATTAACAACAATTTAAGTTTAATAATGAACGGCAATGGTATTAAACGCCGCTCAGTGGCAATTATTGGTGCTGGCCCTGGTGGATTAATCTTAGCGCATAAATTTCTTCAACGAAAGGATCTTTTCGATGTCACTGTTTTTGAGAAACAAGCTGATGTTGGTGGGACCTGGATCTATTGTGAAGACACAGAACCCAATAAATATGGACTTCCAGTTCATTCAAGTATTTACCGAAATTTGAGGTAAGTGTTTTGTATATTTTAACACTCCAATTCATCTTCAGAAAGATAAGCTATGACGAGTAATGTTTTGGACTAATTTTTCAAAATTCAATTGCGACAGTTACAAATAGTTAGAACCATTTATTAACTTTTAAAATAAAGTTAAACTTCTCAAGAGTGTGTTGTGAAAAAATTGTTCATTTATGGCCTTAAATAGACAGAGGCGTCAAAATCTGGTTTTGCATTTCATCAAAAACCATATATTTTCAACTTCAGAAAACTTGTCAAAAAGTTTTTTTTCAATTCATGGAAATTCGTTTCTTCATCAAATGTCTGCAAAATTTAGTTTGGCGTTGGTCTGAACCTTTCAATTGATCTATGTTGAGTTATTTTAGCGAATTACATCGGTACAAAAACTTTGAGGCCAAATTTCAAAACCATGGTATGAAGTTGAAAACATATTGTTTTTGATGAAATGCAAAACCAGATTTTGACGCTTTTGATGAAGATTAATTGATTTTTGCACAATACAATGTTGAGAAGTTGAACTTTACTTTAACAGTTAAATGGTACCTGTAAGTCTAACTGTCGCAATTAGTTTTTGAAAAAGTCCAAAGATTACCCGTCATACCTTACTTCGACAATCTGTGGGGTGTTGAGAAAGTTTATTTAGTGGGAAAATCTCTGAACTGCGTATAAACAGAAAATAAGGTTTTTCCCCCATCTTGACCATAAACTTTCTCAACACCCCACAGATTGTCAAAGTTATAAATCTATCTAATTGTCTTACGGTAGACAATCAAATCTGAACCATCTAACAATCTATCTTTCCATCATGATTTAATCTATGGAATTCCGATATAAAATCTATGGAAATTTCCCTTCTAACACTGTTTTTTGTCCTCACCCTTTCGATGAACAATAAATTACCAGGACCAATCTTCCGATAGCAACAATGGAGTTTGATGATTTCCCTCACAATCAAAATCCTTCTAAATATGTCAGTCACCAACAAGTCTTGAAATATTTACAGGATTTTGCTCATCACTTTGCTATAAAAAAATACACTAAGGTTAGTTTTTTACCGATTGCACCATTCACTGATCGCAAATTAGAATCAGAATTATAATTTCCATAAAAGCCTATGAATAATATCAAATAAAACTTTAAGATACTACATCCTACCGCATTTATCAGAGATCAGCTGTAATCTTATTTACGTTCATCTTACTAATCAATCAAGTTTTTTTTCAGTTTTTGCATTTAGTAACAAAAGTATCTCGAGATGATGATTTATGGTTTGTGGATTATCGTAATCTTGAAACTCAAGAATCCTTTACGGAGACATTCGATGTCGTTTGTATATGCCAAGGACGCTTTTCAGTGCCATATATTCCGAATCATATTCCTGGTTTAAATACTTTTAAGGGATTGAAGATCCATACACACACTTATCGAGTACCCGATATTTTTAAGAACAAGAGAGTGGCTGTTTTAGGAGGTGGACCTTCAGGAGCTGATATTGCTCTTGAAGTTGCCGATGTTGCCAGTGAAACCTATTTATGTCACACTGTGCCGAAAAATGGTAATTTTTATCCATTTGGAGATAAAATAATTCAAACTGGAGCCATATTCAAATCAGTCGGAGAAGATTCAATTGAATTAACGAATGGCACTGTTTTACGAAACATTGATGCAATTATCTTTGCAACTGGCTATCAAATTGATCTGAGCATAATAGACCCTTCATGTGGAATCGAAGGAGGTGAGGGTCGAGTTGATGGTTTATTCATGCACATGATCAACATAAATTATCCAACAATGGCATATCTCGGTTTGATGGAGAGGATTCCAGTCTTTAACGTGTTTAGTCAAATGGTAAGTTTCACCTGATGGAAATGATAACAACTTTCAAACAATTTTATTAACCATTATCGCTCTTTGGTTAAGCAAATTTACTAGATATATTAACCGTTATCGATCTTTTGATTTTTAGGCAAAATATTTTGTTCGAACTTTGACTGGAGAGGCTGAACTTCCATCTAAAGATGAAATGATTTTGGATCTTGAAGCTGATAGAAAGGAAAGACAATCATTGAATAGAAAAATGAAACATTCACATCGAATGTTTTGCGATGAAATGTGGCGTTATGACGAAAAACTCAGTATTTTAGGCAGATTTAAGCCACTTTCACCTTTAACCAAAGCCCTTTATGATAAATGTCTTGCACTGTTTGAGGGTGAAACCAACTACAAAGATTATCAATTTATTCTGAACTATGACAAAGGAACATATGTAGCTTTGAAAAAAATGACGATGAAGCTTGATTGACTTGGACATTGGATATTTGTTATTGGTCTAAACAACTAGAACTCTGTTTTTGTATTAATCCAAACATTTGCATAAAGTAATAAGGATTAAATATTTAGTGCGAAGGGAATTTCATTACATTTTAATTACAAATGACAACTTAATGTGCAAGGTAGTCAAATTTACTTTAAGTCAATCTAATTTACAGAGGCCAATTCTATTCAGAATTAAACCCCAAAAATCTGTATACTTCTCAGATTTAGGGCCGTATTCACCAACCGAGTTTAAGCTTGATTCGGAGATCAAACTGATTAATCTTAACTTTTTTGTTTCACCAATTGAAATTAAAATTTGATCTCAGATCACACCTGAGCTAAGATCATAGCTGATCAAACTAATCTTGAAATCAATTTTTTTGATTTCACCAACCAAAATTATTTAAACCGATATCGCAATGTTGATTCACCAACTCGGATCATGCTCTATTTGATCCTGGATATTGATAAAGTGTGGATCAAAATTTGATCGGTTGGTGAATACGAGCCTTAGTTTAAAGTATATTATAATTTATTAATAAACAGATATCAGAAATGATTTTGAATCAAATTTGAAAAAAGGAACAAGAAGGCTCTCAAAAGATAACCAGGAATCAGCATGATTAACGGTAGATAAGATTCTTAGAAAACAGTCGACGAACGTCCAGACGCAAAAATAGGTATCGTTACCCGGGGCAACATCACCAACAAGATATTGCCGATGAAATGCGCTATATTTAAACTGTTAGGATAAGCGGGATAACTGTTGCGACAGTAGCAACAAATTTGAATAATGATGCTATAGCATAAGTCGGATTGCGTGTGGACGATAATTACTTTACATAAACACTTGGCCATTTAAATATGAGGATTTAAAAATAAACATTAGACAAACTCATTTCAATCCAATTTCAACAATTGAAAAGGTAAAATTTTATGTAAAAATAAAAATCGTTAAACCAGACATTAAACACAATTTAGTAAAGCAGCTTGTGTGATTTTTTTGAAAACTGACACATCTTTCGAATAAACTTCAATCCTTGCAATCGCAGAGGTCTTTCAACATTCGGTCTATATTAAAATGAATACACTATGTTCACTAGGATTAAGACCAGCATCTGAATGCCATATTTTTTCAATTTAAATGATTATTTAGCAACCAAAGAGGTTAAAACTGTTGATTGCCTTACTGTGGATTAGACTAAGCAAAGTAGAAACAATTGGATTTGCGTTAATATTAATTTTAACATAATTAACATCTGGAAGCCACATGTTGGTGTCTAATGGGATTAAGACCATGTAGATTTTTGGTGAAAGGGTTGATTATTGGCCATATTTAGTAATTTTAACAGTGATAGTCATGATAATAGATGCTTTGTTTCATTATTCAGTGTTTTTGTTAGTTTGTTTTTTGAGTTATTTTTGATATAATTTGTTTTTTATAGAATCAACAATTATGGGTAAAGGTAAAGATTTAAATGAAATTGTTCGAATTATTGCAAATCTCTCGTGCTTCTATTAGGAAATCTGCTCCATTATTGAACATGTCGAGAATAACATTGCGACATTGTTCGAGAAAAATTCTTCGACTGTATCCCTGCAAAATTTCTACGGCCCTGCATTTACCATCCATTTACAATTTATAAAGCAACTGGACCTGAAGAATATCGACCCTTTCAAGGTCAATTAAGATGCAATCAAACAGAAGTTTTGAAAAAGTGATAAGCGATTGGAAATCTATTAAGGATATGATGTAAAAACAATGATCTATTTCATTTTACCTAATAAAATTATGATGAAAATCCTCATTTAAACTCATTGCTGCAGTTCCAAATTTATTTATGTATCCTTATCAACAAAAAAAAGATTCAAATTTTCGTTACAAAAGAAAATAGCAATGAGACGTAAAAAAATTAATAGTTATTGGTCTGGAAACTAGAACTGTGTTTTGTATTGATAAAAATATTTTGTTGTACAGGGCATTTCAGCTATTTTTACCGATGTTAACGCTTATTTCTCGCCCTGTGAATGAGCCAGAGACTTGAAAAAAGTTGTGTGTAAATTTCGCGAATACTTATTTGCTATATTTCAAGGTCAAGGACATTCAAAGGTCATTTGCTCGAAATCGGTCCTAACCACTGGGAGGGCGAAACGATATTTTT